GTCAGAGACCAGATTGGCAAATCACTCAAATTCACTATACGCAGCTGAGAGAAACTAGCAAAGAGTAGCCCTATTCAGAAAGGTATTTCTAATGGGCCTGGGAAGCCTCTTCCTTTATCTGTTGCAGCAACCTCATCTCCTGACAGGTACTGGAAAACGCAGGAGAAGAAGGAGTGTGGACCAGACCCTTACAGAACCCCCGGATCACTGAACGAAGAGATCCCCATCACCCCTCTACCCTACCCCTGCCCCTTTGTTCTGAGCCGTGCTCCATTCTGGTCAAGCCACACTGGGTCCTGCCCGGTCTGGTAGAAATGTCACGAATCCTCCCCTGTGCCTCCTCACGGTTAAGGAAGTATGCCCTTGCCCAGGATACCCAATGACGGGCAACTTCCTTCACCGCTGCGCACACCTAAGACAGGGGCTAAAGCATTCTCCCCAAGGATGGGCACCACGGTGGGGCGACGGACGACCTAAGACAGGGGTCCTGGTGTGCCATAATTGAAAAAAAGGGGTGAGATGTTGCCTACTGAGCAACTAAAAGAATGCTTGATTTTTCATTCCCCTTTGTCCTGCTCAAAGCTGGGCAACTTCCCAGTACAGGAGGTTTCAGTTTGGGGAAAAATGCACCCTCAGAAATGATTTGTAAATGATGTATGAGGAACAGCACAATCTTTGCAGATACGTCAAAGCTATATCAAAGCAGGTCGTTCCGACCAATAGCATTATGTCGAAAGGGTCACCAGGTGGCTGACCAACGGTGCATGGCTCTGCTCATTGTCCCATCCACTTTCCCACGTCCCATCCCCTTTCCTTTCTTTTGGGTGGGCTGTGGAAACATACTTAAATCTGTACCTATGCTCTGAATAAACGCATGCATTCATGCCATCTCCTGAATGACGGAGCCCTGTGTGACTCGAGTGCTGATTTCACCCTGACGGCCCTCCCCTGGCTCGGCCCCGCAGCGCCGGACGTGGCAAAGTTTTGCTTGTTGGGTCACACCTGGTGATGCACAGGCGTTACTCCTGGCTCTACACTCAGGAATTATTCCTGGCAGTGCTCAGGGGACCCTATGGGATGCTGGAAATGGAACCCGAGTCTGCTCAAGGCAAACTCTCTACCCGCTGTGCTGTCATTCCAACCCAGTGTAATACGATTTTATACTTTAGTATTGATTTGAATCTATGGTCATATTTTTATTGTGCAAGCAGTCCTTCAGTTTTAAAACGCAAATTCCTGAGGATGATTCACATGGAACATTTTTTACTTCCTCTTTTTCTTTTCTCCTGACGGTCAACCTCATGAACAATCAATCTCCAAGTACACAGTAAATATTGCATCATCTTAAGCGACACCCCCTGAGGAACCCCACCCCATCCACAGGCAGAACTACCTAGGTTGCCTCATCCAGGGGGCCAGTAGTTGACCCAGCAGCTGCAGCTGCAGACGACGGATTGGCTGGAGAAGTGGTAAAGCCAGATGCGGAAATCAGGCGCCCGGTGCCAGCCAGGACTAGGGGCAAGGGTGACCCCGGTGCCCAGCTGGCCCAGGCCTGTCGGAAGTCGCTCCCTCGGGGCTGACCATGAGAAGAGAAAGACCCTGGTATTCCTTGATTCTTCTTTTTCCCTTTGGCCTTGCACCCCAACCCCTATTTTTAGTCCCAAGTTCTCCAGAGTCCTCAGTGAGTGCAAAACTGTGCCCCATGCCGCCTCTAACCAGGCAGGTGTCCCTCCCCCCTCGCGTTCCCCAAGCCTTGGCCCTCTGAAGAGACCTCGCAGCAGCCCTGTGCCAGGGCTACTGGAGGGACGCGTTGGTGTCCGGTTCCTGTGTCCCCTCGGGTCAGCCCAGGCACTGTGGCCTGTGGGAGCCCCCTGGAGGGATCTGATGCCACCGATCACCTCCAGGAGGCGACTGGAGGGTCCCCATAAGGGACAGTCTGTCTCCCCCACCTAGCGTGCTCAGGGCAGTGGGGGACACCCCACTAGCCACTGGACCCTATCTCCATCAGTTCTGAGCTGAGCTGCAAGTTAAGTAATGGTAGGAAATAAATCGTGACTCAAAAAAAAAAGTTTCCTCTTTTCTTTTCCTTCCCTTATCTTCTACTTGGTTTCCAAGTTCCTATTTTTATTACATTTTTTTTCTTCTGAGTTTAAGGGCTATGACTTTTGCTGTGTTTGTCTTGGGGTTCAAACCTCAGGCTGTGGGTTTTAGCTCTATGTGATTCCTCTGAGTCTGTGTGATTAGTGGGACGTAGGTGCTCCTTGCAGAGCTGCTTTGAGTTGTTCTCAGAGTGATTTGAAGGCTGGTGTGAAGAGGACAACAGCCTCTCCTCAATTGATGACAGAGAGCAAGTATAGTGAAATGAGATCCAAAAATGAACCCCAGTCTCCGGGTACCGCTTCACAGGTTCCTGCAGGTAAGAAACGTTTTCTGCAAGTTTATAATGAGATGAAGGTTGGAGAAGGAAGAGTGTCAGCGAAACCTAGGTGACATTAGTTGCTACTCTTTTCTATTGGATACAGTTGGGAAGTGCAGGCTGTAGTAGCTGGAGTTATCTAATTATGAAGCAGGAAGAGGTGTGACAGCCCCAAAATTGAGGTGTGAGAACTAACCCTCACCTCCACCCCTGTCATGTTAAGGGGAGTGCTGTTAAGTTGAGCCTTGTTCTGTCTTGTGTGGTTGAGTGAGTCTACAGTTAAGAGATCAGTGTTCAGCTCTTGTAACCATCAGCCCAGTGCAGGACTGTTGATGAATGAATGAATGGACCCCATTCCTTGATTAGAGAGGAAGGGTTTTGCAGGACTGTGTGTTTACTGATAATTGTAGACTCAGGCATAACAGAAGACCACTGCAGGTTAAAGGCAGGAAAGTCTTACAAAAACAGCTCATTGCATTTCAAGGGAAATATCTCTGCCATCATAAAATTATTTTTGGGGGGGGAGCGGATCAGGGGGCCACACCTGACAATGCTCAGTAGATACTCCTATCTCTTTATTTAGGTATCACTTCTGGTGAGGCTTACCTCCTGTACAATATTTCGGACCAAAAATGAAAAATTAATTTAATACTGATATCCAAGATAGATTAAATATACTTTTGGGGAGTAGAGCAAGGTATTTGAGTAGCATGTAATGTATCTGACACATAGAGAAAAAACAGAAAGAAAAAACCACATAGGTATAAGAAGCTAAGAAACACTATATGTGTGTGTGAGCATATGGCTCACTTTTCTGAAACTTGTCATATGAAGAAAATGAATATATTCTTAATATATAAATATGAAGAATTCTGAGGAAAATTTCTTCTTCCTCTAACAAAAAATTCATATAAAACTTTAGTAAGCATTGAAGTGCTCATTATAGAAAAAACAAGGCACACAAGAATTTAAATCTTTCTGGCGGTGGAATGCCAATAGAACTTTGGTGGTAGATATGATCAGACATACATACATGTGCAAATGTGAAGATAACACCCAAAATTTCATAATATTTTTAAATCTGATAAATAAAAAATACCTACCATGTGATAAAAAGTAGATATCAAATAATGTATGTGATCCAGTCATTTTTTAAAGATGCTGCTGAATGGGGCTGCATTGGTAGCAAAGCAGAAAGGGTGTTTGCCTTACATGCAGATTGCCCGGGTTTGATTCCCAGCATCCCATAGGGTCCCTTGTGTACCACCAGGAGTAATTCCTGAGTGCAGAGCCAGGAGTAACCCCTGTGCATTGCCCAGTGTGACCCAAAAAGTAAAAAAAAAAATGCGCGATTAAAATATTAGGTATTTTAATAATAAATAGCCAAATCACATTTAATCATATATTCATATCATCATATTTACATATATTATGAGTAAGCAATGTATAAATATTTATTATTAAAATGCCTAAGATCAAAATATTAAAAGTAGGAATCCTTAATGATAGGAACTTATGCTCTTATGTGTTTCTACAATGAATACTATTATTTCCTTTTCTTTTAAGTGTCCTATTACTTGTATTAATCCAAAAAATGGAGAAGAGGAAGGACTGGCCTGATTGTATTACTAATGAACCTAATTTGATTTCTCTTGCAGCTCCAAAAGAGAAGACTAGCCCTCCTCAAAGTAACTCTGGTTGCCTCAAACTACTTCTTTTCTCTTTGCTGATTCTTCTTCTGCTGCTGAAAATCTCAGTTCCAATTGTCATCATCAGTAAGTAGCTAATTGAATCTAGATGGAATATCTCCCTTACCTGAAGAGATAGCATCCTTTTGACACTGGCAATTGAATAATGGATTTCACCAGAAATATGAAGTCTTTTTTAGGCTAAACATAACAATAGGCATCCTTTGGAAACTTGGTGGCTTATTTGAGTTTAGTTACTCTTCCATCAAATAATGAAACCAACTCACTTGAAAAAAGTAAAGAGTATATGTATATGCACTTGTTTGTGTTGTAAAGTGAAACCTAGAGGTTATCATTGTCTACATTAGACTGTTGGGTAAATGTGGACAAATGTCTATTCCTCCGTAGTTTTGTTCAGGCCTTTTTAGGTTCAGGCACCTAGTTTGGGAAGACGAACAGGAAAAGGAAATGGGAAAAACGGTTTCAGGCAGAATTTCCTATTGAATTTTTACCTCACTTCTTCCTGCCCTGTCCTACATCGATGTTGTAAAACGTCAGTTGCCAAGAGGTAGATATCCATATCCTGTTACCTCTAACATGCATTCCCTTGGCATTATTTTTCTAAAAATTTGGGGCTATATCCAGAAGTGTTTAGGGCTTGCTCCTCACTCTGTGCTCAGAGATCACGGGTGGTATGATTTAAGGGACTGTCTAGCTGCTCTACTAACTCTAAGAATTTAAGATTTCTAAATTCAGTAAATTCCAATAAGATTTCTAAAAGGTGTAAAAACCAGTACATATTTGGACATATATTTCATTCAATATTTGATCAATAAATATGCAATGATAACTACCCTCTTTTTTTTCTAGCACACGAATAGTGCAAAATGAGCAACAGGTAAATATCCCAATGATTGAGAGAAGTTCAGAGAATAGTGGAAAATTGTCATGTCGACCAATGGTTTCACCACGATATAAATGTGTTTTTGAGAAACAAAGACATAGATTTCCTGAAAGAAGGGTTTTCTACTGATAAGAACAGATACTACACTTGATCCTAGCCAAAAGGCCGAGAAGCGATAAGAAGGGTTTTCTAGAGCCATAGGACAATCTGGGTAACATAATTATAAATAACTGGAACATACAGTGTTAAGTGAACTGTGAGAAATAAAGTTGTAGATACAAGAAACAAATGGCCCTCAGATAATGAAGAGTTCTGTGTACAATACTAATAGTTGAAATTTTTGATGATTTTGGGGTCTCACCACATGTGTCCAGGCATCCCATATGGTTCCCCAATACATGCCAGGAGTAATTCCTGAGTACAAAGCCAGGAGTAACCTTTCAGCATTACCAGGTGTGACCCAAAATGAAAAAAACAAAATAACAAGCATCGTATTTAGTTTTAATCAATCAGCTGGGAAGTTCTTTTGGCCTGGCTGAAATCATTCTCACATAAAGCAGTCAGGTACCATGGGGGACAAGTTTGTGTTTGAAGAAGAGGGTGTAAGTTGGCAAGACATGGGCAATTTGGTTAAAATTATTTCAAAATTCCTTGACTAGCCTGAGTTTATATGAAAGGTTACTTTAGGGTTCCAAAAATGAGAGTGGAAGTCAGAGAAATGTCTTGAAACCATAGTGTGGCACTAATCAGAATTGCTTCTATCCATTCTGCTCTCTAAGGAAGTTTTTAAAATCACTTGATCACTTATCACTTGACATCCCATTATTCATTGATTTGCTCAAGCGAGCACCAGTAACATCTCCATTCCTCCTTGTCACGTGCTAGTGTAGTACAATGGCATCTGCTTGCTCCAGGAACATGAAAAGCCTCAAACTGTCCTTCAGGGTCTTGATTAAGAAGTCTGACCATCTCCTAAGTGGGCGACCACACGATCTTTTGACATCTTGTGGAATCCAGTCAGTAATGGCTCTAGTTCAGCAGTCATCTCCAAATCGCATTGCATGCCCAGCCCATCTGATTTTTGATGCCTTGGCAAATAAGACAGCGTCCCTGATTTTTCAACCGTTGACGGAGGTTGGAACTCCAGTTTCCTTCTCTCACTTGAGTGAAGCTTGATACTCTCTCGATTCCTCTTTGGGAGACCCGAATAGCATTCTCATCCAGTTTTCATAGGGCCAGGTCTCTGAGGCATATGTTAATGCAGGAAGAATGGTGGAGTTGAAGAGATGTGCACGGAGCCGGAGGTTCCTCGTCCTCTTAGCTATTTCTTCAATGCTTTCGAAAGCATTCCATGCCGCATTCTTCCTCCTGAGCAGCTCAGGTGCCAGTTAGTTCGTCATGTTTTAAAATCATCATTTTTTTTGTCTTTTCCCACATTCTTGATGTTCAAGTCTGAGGGATTGAACCCAGGTCCTCACAAATGCCACACAAACATTTTATCATTGATAACAACATCCCTCAGACTAAATTAAGGAAATCTTAGAGTCATTTCAAGTTAAAGTGATGTAAAATTTGATTCTCCTTTTTTTTTTCTTTTTGTGTCATACTTGGGGATGCGTAGGGGTTACTCCTGGATCATGCACTCAGGAATTACTCCTGGCTGTGCTCATATGGGATGCTGGGAATTGAACCTGGGTTGACCGCGTGCTAGGCAAATGCCCTACCTGCTGTATTATTGCTCCAACCCCAGATTCTACTTGTTGAGAAGTAATATTGAAAATGAATGTGGCTACAGGAAAGATGCAAAATAATGGACATTCTTATAAAACACCAGAACGATATTGAGTCACTATAGAATTTTTTAAGTGGAGGAGATATCATGATCACATTTGACATATAGAAATACATTTTTATGAGTGGTATGTCAATTAAACAAGTCAGGCCAAAGTTGGAAACAAAAAGTAGACAATCAATTCATTATCCATTTGCAGAAGAGTAAGAACTTGACCCAAGTTCTGTGGTAGTAAAGAAATAAAGATAATGAGAAGGTAGTGATGATATCATCACTTGAATGATGGTACCACATTGTATCAATACAATGATAATGAGAATGTAGAATCCAGGAGGCAGAGTCTTGATGGATACTGAGGTATAAAGATAAGGGATTAAAACTCAAGAATGGTTCAGATGTTTTCACCTGATAAACTCAATAATGGAGATATTCACAGAGGTGTATATTATAGGCTGGTAGCAGGTTTATGAGTGAAGATAGAAATTTCAGTTTGCGGTACATTGAGTTTTGTTGACTCTGGAACCTCAAGTGGACATGTTGGTTGGAGACATACTGTCTGGATTTTATAAAAGAAATCTGAATTTGGGGAATATGATTGCATGTTTCAGATGAAAACCTGGTTACTCATATTATCTCTCAGGGAGAGGCTTTCAATGAGAGTGAGGATAAGAAATGTTACAATTAAAAGAAGGATGGATAAAGAGGAGTGTGAAGTAATTACAGAAGCATCAGCAAGAAATGTGAGGAATATTAGATTTTTAAAAGAGGTGAGAATACTATCGAGATTAACAAGCATCAGAAAGATATGAAAGGCAAAATCAGGAAATCATGGTGTCCGACAAATGAAGTAAAGAAAACAGAGTTCGAGAATTGCAAGTGGTTGAAGGAGAGAAGTTGTAGTAGTGTCCTGAGCATGTGGCTGGAGCGTAGCAAGAGTGGAGTAGCGAGGGGAAATTCAGTATTGGTTGGTCTGGGAGCTTGAGGGAGGTGATGAAGTACAAGAGAAATCTCACTATTTGGAGAAGAATGTAAAAGGTAAAGGTAAAGGCCCTCCCGTTGTTCGTTGATTTGCTCGAGCGGGCCCAGTAACGTCTTCATTGAAGACTTTGTTGTTACTGTGTTTGGCATATCGAATACGTCACAGTGAGCTTGCCAGGCTCTCTCGGTAGCTTGCCGGGCTCACCGAGAGGGGTGGAGAAATATAGAAAATATTTTTAAAAAATATTCATAAAACTGATGCTTTTGGGCTGGAGCGATAGCACAGCGGGTAGGGCGTTCGCCTTACACGCGGCCAACATGGCCGACCCGAGTTCGATTCCTCCGCCCCTCTCGGAGAGCCCGGCAAGCTACCGAGAGTATTGGATATGCCAGACACAGTAACAACAAAGTCTCCAATGGAGACGTTACTGGGTCGGCTCGAGCAAATCGATGAACAACGGGAGGGCCTTTACCTTTACCTTTTACCTGAAAAAAAAATCTGTGATTTCAACATCTGAAGGATTAGAATGTGTTGAATGCTGGATAATTAGGTGGTTCTCTTTTTTCACAGTTAGCATCCTTCTACTTTTTTTGTATTAGTGGGTTTTGTTCAAATTAATAGTATAGGGAAAACCTCAGCAGTACTAGGAAAAATCAACATTTTTCTTTATTTTAGGTTTCTTTCAAAAATGTTTTAAACCTGTTCAAGAAGAAAAGTTTACCCTAGAACCGACTCACACAATGTTGGAATGTAAGAAAGAAATCGTGACCATGAAAGGTAAGAGCTAATATGCACATAATGAGTTGTTGATTATATAATGGGTAAATGTCGCTCTTCCAGGGCGGGCTGGTAGGTCACAGTGGGATAGTGACCCAGGGGTCCCCTTGGTATATTTAGGGTCTATCGATCACTATCCCTCCCCGACTGGCAGACTGTGACAGACGAATAAAGGAATGGGGGCCATAGGCTTGCAGGTAATCAGTGTTCACTTATTCAAGTCTCACAGCATTCGTTATAGAGAAAACAAGAAGGCTCAGGGTAGCAGTTACACAAAGGTGTGGTTGAACATTATAATAAATAATAAATAGATATAAAGCCCTTTCTTCAGGGGGAGTTCTAGTAGATTCACTTAAGGACAGAATCTCACCTAGGGGCTCCAGCACTTTAAATCCCTACTAGGAGATTGGCCCAGGGTGAATCCATCTAAGGGGGATATTGTTTTCTTCTTTCCTTTGCTAGTAATCTATTTAAATAATCATATTAAATTTACTTCCCAATAATATTTCTAGTCATTTTGTACAAACGCAGTAAGAGATATATTAAGCTTCAAGAGTGGCTCTTCCTGGGAACATCTCACTATATATCATAGACTACAATATATCATAGACTACAATCCTCGGGTCAGGCTAGTCTTTCCTACCTCAATAGGGTCCTTATTCAGTCACTACTTTTTTTGCTGTTGCCAGTTGTCATGCTGTTCCAGAATGGTGTTCTTATGGCGCTTTGTCTGTCCTATTTCAGTGCCATCGTAGCTCACTGCTTGCCCTGGGTCCATCCCTGTCCATTGCTGGGAACCCCTGTTGGCGTGTTAGGAACTGAGCACAATTTAGGCTTAAGACAGGTAAATACGATGGATGCCCAGGAGTAAATATTATTTGGACTCAATTCACTCCCATGTTACAAAAGCAAAGCATTAACTCTCTTCCTGTGTCTGGACAAAAAAGGACATTGCTCTAAAATTATGCAAAGGACATAAAGGAAAGAGAAAAGCAGTATTTCCTTTACATATACAAAATCAGAAGAATTTGGCTTTACAAGTTATAGGGTCTGATTTGGGGATTCAGTGATTAACAGACAAGAGAGGAAGAGCACAAAGGAGCAATTAAAGATAAACACAGAGGATAGAGCGTCCCTCATGAAATTGGGTGTGCATCATGAGCACTGTGGTGGGTGCAACTCAATAAACTTAAGCTTCCTACTGGAGAAGAAAAGACAACTCAAAATTAAACCTAAAATGTTTAGAACTGTAATCCAACAAGTAAGGATCAAAACTCAATAGTTTCAGTAAGGTTCATAAGTAAAGCATACATAAAAGCTGTTTCATAATGTTTTAGGTGCACAAATATACCAGCTGTTAATAATTTAATGTGCATATCTTTAATTAAAATGTGAAAATGCGATTTCATAGCTTTTGGATTTCTTCTCTTTTCTTGCCACACCTGGATGCACTCAGGACTTAATCTGGTTCTGTGTTTAAGGATCACTCCTTGGCATTGCTCTTAGTACATTATGGGTTGTCAGAGGGGAAATCCAAGTCCGCCATATGGAAGGCAAGATCCTTGCTCACTGTACTATCACTCGAATAAATTTTTTTTTCTTTCTATTTTTTGGGGGGTGTGACACCCGGTGATGTTCAGGGTTTACTCCTGGCTTTGCACTCAGGAATCACTCCTGTCGGCTCTTGGGGGACCATATGGGATGCAGGGGATTGAACCCTGGTCGGCCGTGTGCAAGGCAAACGCCTAATCCTGTAGGCTGTTACATCTCCAAACCCTTCAGTGGATTTCTTTAGCCTTCACTTATCTTGTTACTTTATGTTCACTCTTATTTCCCCACGTATCTGTTTAAACTGACTTCCTCAAGAGAGATCTAATACCATTGTGTTTTAAAAAAACACAAATATTTCATGCATTCAAATGGTTTCTCAGATAATACACAATACTTACTGGAAAGAGTTGAAAGCTGTTTAGTTTCAGTTTCCTCCACTTCTGAAGGGAGAAGACTGGCAACACAATGTCATTTTAGGCTGCAATGAAAACACAAACTGACACCTTAAATAATAGGTATTTATTTTCTTCCAGTCCCACAGAACAATCCCTTCCAGTCAGTGAGATCAGGTGCCAGCAGGACTGGTTTCTGTTGAGGAATTTATTCTGGCTTATAGATAGCTGTTTTCTTGCTGCGTCTTCAAATGAGTTCTCATCTTTACATAGGGCATGGGGACGGAAGAAGGAAAGAGGGAGAGAGGAAAAAGAGAAGAGAGGGAAATGTAGAGAGAGGGATCGACCATCGAAAGAGAGGAGGGAGAGAGGGAGAGGGAAATGAAGGAGAGAGTGTGGGAAAGTGAGAGGGAGAAGCGTTTTGGTCTATCTTCCTTTTATTGAAAGTTCAAAACATTTACTTGATTAAAAGCTGCCACTCTTATGACTCAACTTAACAAAACTTTATCTTCTACAAGGCTCTGCCTCCAAACAATGTCACTGAGGGTCACAGTTTCAGCAGACGCATTTCAGGGAAACACAATCGAAACAGAGTGTTCACAAAACATGTGTGTGCATGCTCTCACCATGTGCATTCGCTGGCCATGAGCTGATTCCCACCCTGGATGGCCAACAGCAATGGATGAAAGAAAGTGGAAACTAGCTGGTTGGTGATCAGTTGCGCTATATTCCAATCTTCGTCCCTCCGTTTATTCCATTCTGCCTGCATGTCTATTCCAGTATTACTGAGTGCCCCATTCCAGTTTCACACCACCCCTCATTCCCATCTCCCACATTTCTCATGCAGTCATCCCACACGCACCCAGTCTCACAGACTTATTCAAGAGCCAACTCCAACGTTGGGAGTAGCAACTATTCATAGATCAGATAGGACAACCAATATCTCTAAAGCCCTTCCTTCCGGGGAAGTTCTTCTAAGACAAAGATCTCATCCTGTGAGGAGATCCACTCAAGAGCAGAATTTCATCTTTCCTTAAACAAAAACCATTTAAACAGTCACTTTATTTTTTTTTAGTTTTTTTTATTAAAAAAATTTTAATAGTGAGACATCATGAGGTACAGTTGCAGACTTACACATTTTTTTGTGCTTGGGTTTCAATTATACAATGATCAAATACCCATCCCTCCACCAGTGCCCATTTTCCACCACCACGGATTCCAGTATCCCTACCAGCCCCCATCCCCCCCAACCCACCCTGTCTCTGTGGCAGGGCATTCCCCTCTGTTCTCTCTCTCCTTTTGGGTGTTGTGGTTTGCAAAAGAAACATTGAGTGGCACTCATGTTTGGTCTATAGTCTACTTTCAGCATACTTCTCCCATCTTGGGAGGATCCTCCCAACACCTTTATTTGGTGTTCTCCTCTTTATCTGAGCTCCCTTTCCCCCTAGTATGTGTGGTTGGCCTCCAGCTCATGGAGTAAAATTCCTGGTACTAATCTCAGCCATTCTTCGGTGTTAGTCTCCTGTTTTGTTACTTTATGTTCCCCAGATGAATGCAATCTGTCTATGTCTGTCCCTTTCTTTCTGAGTCATTTTGCTTAACATGATACTTTCCATGTAGTACCACTTGTACGTAAATTTCATGACTTCGTCTTTTCTAACAGCTACATAGTACTCCATTGTGTAAATGTACCAAAGTTTCTTTAACCAGTCATCTAAACAGTCATTTTAAATTTACTTCTTAATAATTTTTCTACCAGTGATGTATTCGATATGCCAAACACACTAACAATTGTCACAATGAAGATGTTACTGGGCCCGCTCAAGCAAATCAATGAACAATGGGAAGACAGTGACAGTGACAGTTATTTTGTATGGACACAGTAAAGGATATATTAAGCTTAAAGGGTGGCTCTCCTGGGAACATCTCACTAGAGATCCCAGACTACAATTCTCAGGGGAGATGAGTTCTTCCTAACCTCAGAAGGGTCCTTATCCAGTCACGACAATTTTTGCAGTACCTTGCTCTTAACTTAAAAGTTTTATGGTATTTGACCAACCTGTTTCAATGCTAGGGTAGCTTACAACTTTCCTTGGGTCCATCCAGTCCCTTCGTTGGGACCCTGCTTTTAGGGTGCTAGGAACTAAGGGAAACTGAGGCTTAAGTCAAGTAAATATGATAGATGTCCAGGAACAAATATTATTCAGAGTCAATTAACTCCTAAGCATCTACTGTCTTCCTGTGTCTGTACAAAAATGACATCATTCTAAAGTAAACTATGCAAAGGACATCAGGTAAAGAGAAAAGCGATATTTCACTTACAAATACAAAATCCAGAGTCCTTAGAAGGAACTGACCTTACAAGTCTCAGGGTCTGCATTTGGAGATATAGGTGATTAACAGAGAGGGGAAGCAGAGCACAGAGAAGTTAAAGATAAACACAGAGGAATAGGAATGCTTGGGTGCACTGTAATGGGTGTAACCCAATAAACCTAAGCTCCCTACAACGAGGAAGAATGGACAAACTAATGTTACCCTACACCAAACCATAGCAATTTTGAGAAATTCGACATCCTTGGCATACAGAGAAATTTTTCATTGAAAATGGGACAGTTTTGCATTTTCCTCTGAGATTTTGAATCTTTTTCTATTTTTAAGGTTCCGCCAAACCTTCCCTTCCCCTCCCCCCTTCTGGTGGTTTTTACGGCTCTTATTGGTACTACACATTGGGATCTCTGCTGCTGAAGCTCAGGGGATCATTTGTAGTACTGGATATTGAATTTGGGTCTGCCAGGTACAGGCAAGCATCTTACCCACTGTACTGTACTCCAGATCCCATGTCCGGGATATTGAAAAATATTTTGGTTCCAGCTACCTTTCCTGACTGCTCACAGGCAAGGAAATGGGGAAATGCCTGTTACTGCCTGATGCAGGTGGGTTTGACTTAAATGAGCCCTGATGGGTACAGATCCTGCTTACTATTTGGTGAACATGGGCATTGTGATTCCATAAGATCATTTTTGCAATTTAATTTTTCACAGCACACATAATGAAATCACTTGTCTCTGGCCAAGGGGTAAAGGCACTTTTCTTGTATATGGTTAATCATGGTTTTATTTCTGGCACCCAATATGACCCCCTAAGGACCATCAAGGCTCGCTCCTGAGAATAGAGCCAGGAGTCACCCCGAACCCTGTTTGGTGTGAATCCAAAACAACAAAAATATCACTTGTCTTCTATAGTACTGTACTGTCTGTCCAGCACTGTCCTCCCATTGTTCATCGATCTTCTCAAGTGGGAACCAGTAACGTCTCCATTGTGAGACTTGTTACTGTTTTTGGTATATCAAATACGTCATGCATAGCTTGCGGCAGAATGCTCTCGGTAGCTTGCCAGGCTCTTCGAGAGGGGTGGAGGAATCGAACCTGGGTTGGCGTGTGCAATACAAATGCCCTATCCTCTATGCTAACGCTCCGGCCCAAGTAAACTAAATGTAGCACTGTCCTCCTGTCATTCATCGATTGGCTCAAGCTGGCCCAGTAACATTGTGAGACTTGCTGTTACTGTGTTTGGCATATCAAGTACATCACAGGTAGCTTGCCAGACTTTGCCGTGCAGGCAAGATATTCTCAGTAGCTTGCCAGGCTCTCCAAGAGGGGCGGAGGAATCAAACTCATGTGGGTCGCGTTGGCCACGTGCAAGGCAAACGCTCTACCCACTGTGCTATTGCTCCCACCTGAGTAAACAAAATATTAAGTACTAAAAAGTAAAGAACATCTGTGGTAGCTCTATTAGTACCAAATACAGTTAAAGATATTATGTTATTTGCAAAAGACTTATAATATAATTTAAAAAAACAAGTTACCAAAGAAATATGGGCATTCTAAACTTTTCAATAGTTAGTAAGTAACCTCCACTTAGTAGGAAACCAACTGATAGAATTATAAGGAGTCGTTGATTAATCCACACTTGTTAAATTGAAGAAAACACTAGTAATATTTAGTAGACTACAAAGAAAATACATCAATGACTATAAAGATGCAAGATCATCCTAGTTATTCTGACTATCTTAAATTCAAATAGAACACATAAAAATAGACGCAACAGGAGATTGGAGCACTAGTACAATGGGTAGGGCTCTTGCTTTAGCTGTAGCCAGCACATCAGTATTAATCCCTGAATGAAGAGTTAGGAATAAGCTCCAAGCACTGCTGAGTTTGGCCCCCAAGCCAAAAATATAAAATTGACCACAAGTTGAAATCATATCTCAATATATCTCATATATAGATATAGACAGATATATCTATAGATAAGCAATAGATAAGACATTATACTCTCCAATTAAAATATTAATCACTCATCACATCATTATTTAAATCAATAACAAGTGAAAACCACTAGTCATTGCATCATAACTTAAATCAATCACAATGCAAAAACAATAGCATGAAAATTTAAGGAGTTCATAGGTCAAAAAATGCAATAAAGAATTATCCATTTTAGAAGTGGATATTGTACTATTAATGACAAATATCAACACAGGGAAATCTTGGAGCTGCTGCCCGAAGAATTGGAAGCCATTTGGTTCAAATTGCTACTTTATTTCTTCTGAGATAAGAAATTGGACTGACAGCAAGAAGCACTGTGCAGAGATGCAGGCGCATCTGCTGGTGGTCGACAGCAAGGAGGAGCAGGTACTTTCCGTTCAACGGTGGAGTCACGGTCCTGCCAGCTCTGTACCCGGCTCCTGCTTGGGAGGAAGTTCTCATGGTCAGGGGTGTTGCTGCCGAGGATAAGGCTTTAGATAAAATAGATGGGACCGGACATCTAAGTCTTTGCATTCTACACTTCCTTCTGATTCCATTTAAATCCTCCCCATCAATATAGTGGGGTATTTAGAGTAGGATATGGAGGCTTGAGTGGAAAGATGGGTATATTTGAACGTGAAGTATCAGTTAATTATATGAACCTACAAACGTTTTATAAATTATTGCTGTTTAAATGGGGGTTATTGTGGCTCTGTGCTAGGAGGTTGCTCCTCACAGAGAGGTTAATCTACTGGTAGCTGATCTGCTTTTGGTGTATCAGCCTTAAGCTTGACCTCCAGCATTTTGTAGTCAATTAAAAATTACTGGTAGATTAGGGTGGCCTGGTTCTTATGGTCTCCAAGCAGTAAGAATATGACAACAACTATCACAACAATAAGCAGAAAGAGAAAACAAGCAAGAAATGATCGACTGAGAAAAGCCATGAAGTGAAATAGGAAAGAAATAAAAAGCGATGAAGTGAAATAGGGCTGGAGCGATAGCACAGCGGTAAGGCGTTTGCCTTGCACGCAGCCAACATGGCCAACCCGAGTTCGATTCCTTCGCCCCTCTCGGAGAGCCTGACAAGCTACCCGGAGTATCTCACCCGCACGGCAGAGCCTGGCAAGCTACCCATGATGTATTCGATATGCCAGACACAGTAACGACAAAGTCTCCAATGGAGACGTTGCTGGGCCTGCTCGAGAAAAAATTGATGAACTACGGGAGGGCCTTTACCTTTACCTTTTTAGAAGTGAAGTAACTTAAGAAGTTATCAAAGGAATTCATATGAAAAAATTCTTCTCCAGAGCTTTGAAGACTCCCATTTCCTACTAATGAAGTGGGGGGTGTTTGTCCACATGAGAAAGGACAGAAATCTCTGCCCTGTGGTTGGGCAATGCAGTTCTCTAATTGACTCCGCTCTGAATTCTTACCAGTTTTCAGTAAGGAAGAGGCTCTTTTCCTGGTCATACTGTTCTTCTGATCTGGGACATCAGTCTGCATAACTGTTTCAGTTGTTTTTAAGCTGCCCTGTCTGTGGGGCTTTTTAGAGAGGCCTGAACACTTAAGACAAGCACCATCTTCCCAAGAGATGCCTTTGATAGTGTATTGTTCAGTCACAGAAAAGCTAGACCTGTGGATTGGATCCTGGGTGCCTTTTCATGGACCCTCACATTTTGGTGTTCTTTCTCCTAAGATTTTAAAGAAGGCAAATCTAGGGAAATGCTACATAAACCCTCACTCACTTCTATTCTTTCCTAGGACTTTATTACCAAGAATTTGAAATTGAATCAAGATTATTATTTGGGGCTGTCAGATCTGAAGAATGGTCACTGGGAATGGGTTAATGAGACACCATACAATCCAAGTGTCACGTGAGTATTGAATTGGGTAAGGGGATCCTGAGTCCTGCAGACTGTAGGGACTTTAGGATGCTCCAACTTGTAGCTTTTAAAACAATAGAGCTCAAACATAACTTTTGGACATTAAAGTAAAGTATTACTTTGCATGTTTTAATATGCATTCTGCTACTAATCACCTCGAGAAGTCTACAGAGCATCATTTTCTCTTTCTCTTTGTAGAAATGAGGAAACTGAATTTAAAGAGTTTACATAACTCAGGATAGGTTACTGTAGTGGCAATGATGATCTTCCAACCCAGGTTTATTTGATAGGAAAGCATGTGCTTGTGAAATTTACATATTCAAGATAATAAAATTCATGTCAAAGAAAACCATAGCCATTCTTAACATGCAATACCTGCCCTAAAGCAATGAGCTAAATTCTGATAGTCCTAAAGTATCTTATATTTATTTAGTAAAAAAAAAAAAAAGCAAAACTGTTAGGTCAGAGAGATAGTACAGCATGTAGAGTGATTGCCTTGCACACACTCCCCCCGCCCCCACAACCTGGATCTATTCCTAGCAACCCATATGGTCCCCCGAACATTCATTTCTCATTCACTCATTCCTGAGTGAAAAGCCAGGAGTAACCACTGAGCAATGCTGGGTGTGAACCAAAAAGCAAAACAAAAACAAAATCAACTCTTAGATCCTTAAGTACAATTAACTTAGTTAACATCTTAGAGACTCATAATAACTATGTGAAATGTATAAAGAAAGACTCTAGTTCGATTTTTTAAGATTGAGAACAGAGTAAGATATAATAATCTTAGATAATAGTCGTCGATTGCCTCGAGCAGGCCCCAGTAACGTCTCTTTCATCCTAGCCCGGAGATTATATTCAAGGCTCTTTAGGAGAATGAGACCCATCATTGTTACTGGTATTTGGCATATTTGGTACGCCACGGGGAGTTTGCCAGACTCTGCCCTGTTGGCAGGCTACATTTGATAGCCTGCAAGTTTGTCCAAAGTAGGAATGAGATAATAAGATGTCATAAAAAGATGTTCTGATAAGATGTTGTGCGGCCGCACAGTTCCAGGGGCTGGATTTTATAGTCTCTGAGTCTTGGCCGCTGATGGGATTACATGGCGCCAGGGGGCCAGGTGGTGGGTGTGACCCCCGCCTACTGGAATTTGAAGGATCTGGGTGGAGGATGCTCGACTCCAATTCGAGTAGGCTTGGAGGTCTCGGCCCTGGAACCCACGTGGCTTTGTCCCTCTGCCAGTACCTTCATGAGTGCGGAGAGTGGTCTCAGCATGGTGGTGGCTGGTCCTGGAGGTCTTCGGCTGCCTGAGCCCTGGTTGGGGCGGGGAGGAAAGCTCAACCCGCTCCCCTCCAAGGGACCCCGTCGAGGAAAAGCCAGGCGCAGGGGCAGGAGACTGCACTGGTCTCGTCCGGGGGCTGGATTTTATAGTCTCTGAGTCTTGGCCGCTGATGGGATTGCAAGGCGCCAGGGGGCCAGGTGGTGGGTGTGACCCCCGCCTACTGGAATTTGGAAGATCTGGGTGGAGGATGCTCGACTCCAATTCGAGTAGGCTTGGAGATCTCGGCCCCGGAACCCGCGTGGCTTTGTCCCTCTGCCATAGTAGTAGAATTCAAGATATTTATTCTAATAAATGGAATTCTATTTATTTTAAAAAGTTGTTTTTTTTTCCCTTAAACTTTCTATAAACACTCTGGCATACAAATTTGTCCATAATGATTTTTATAGGCACTAATATTACAACACAAATCCCACCACTGTTATAATTTCCCCCAAACATTGTCTCCTACTTTTCCAAACACCCTTCAACCTCATAGCAGGCCCTTGAAAATTGATTTTATATTGCTTGTTATCAATAGCTTGCTAAAAGAATGATCATAAATATTTCCCTAGAGGAAATCTAGTGAAGAATGTTGTATCTCACCATGCAGCCATTAAGTTCTTGTATAAGAGATTACTAAGATATTGATACAGGTTAAATCCCCTTTTTATACTTCATTCTTCAATTGGTTGCCTTCTACATTACATCCCATCCAATCTTGTATGCTACTCTTAGTTTATCAGTATAATAGAATTTGAGGTGTTGCACTGCCACAAAATCTTCAGGAAGTCCAAATTTGTGATGGGGTGAAACAGCTGTAGTTAAATTATTAATTTGGTGGCAGCGTTGGAGCCTGTGTGTGTGACTTCAGGGGCTTCCAGAGTACAGGGAGATGAGGGGAGGTAGCCCATCCCCAAATCTGTGAACGCCTGATGTGATTTCAGTCTCATAAACTGTATACTGGGATCTTCCTGTGGATTCATTTCTGGGTGAAGCTCACCTGAGCAGTGGAGTCCAGTCTGGATCATGGTGATGATTGTGGAGTGTGCTGATGAAGCTGTGTCTGATAGGGTACTAGGCTCACACGGCCCTCTCTGGGATGCCCTTGATGACTCAGCTTTGTGCAGAGTCTAAAAGCATCAAATCAAAGATATTTTAAAGAAGTCTCATTCTCCAAAAGTGGTTAATAAAGAAGCCCATACTATTGATATGACTGGGATAAAATTTTTGATCACTAAAGGGAGCCCATGGAATCAGGGCACAAGCATGGACTGAGAGAGGCATGTCTGCAGGGAGGGTGTCTGACACAAGGAAATGGGGCAGCTCTGGGGCAGGGCATGGCAGCCCCATTTTCCGGGGAAATGCCAGCAACAGATGGATGGGCCATCTGCAAGGATTGGGGAGGCAATGATTTGTGTGTCTCTGGCCTGACCTCCATAATGTTCGATAGCAGCCCTTGTTTCACTGACTCTTTCAAAGACAGTTTGAGAAACATACTTACCCTGTTCTCCTTTTTCAGGTTCTGGTACCCAGGCGAACCCAGTGATAACAATGAACATTGTGTTGTGTTAGATTTTCTTTCCACAAGGCGCCAATGGGGCTGGAATAATGTCCCTTGTTATAATTCTCATCAATCAATTTGTGAGATGTTGAAGATCTACTTATGAATGGAACATTCTCCATGAATCTGTGGTAGAATTGCCTTTGTTCCTTACAAAGAGAGGGAATTTGCTTTTGTGCATGTCTGATAAAGGATCGAGAAAGGAGCTTTCAGCAGTCAACATATATCAGTGTACCTATTTCTTCATTTCTTCATTAAAAACAAATCAACAATTCTTGAACAACTTTCAGTGAAGACTCCATATCAGAGAACCTTTTCATCTACAAACAGATGGAACTTGAGTCTCCTAACTTTTGTCTAATTTCTCAGTAGTTCACTGTGATTACATTATGTGGCTCCCTATCTTCAACGCTCTCTATATGGATTAATCAATAGGAAAATAATACCAACTGTTGATTTCGGTTTTTCTGAGCTAGATGGGTCATTCTGAACTGAAATCACATTATGAAACCTTTGAAAATTAGTGCACGTTAATGTAAGAAAAGCTTTCGCTTTGACCCAGTATACTCTCTCTATGATAATCATATTTTGGGTGATGAACAGACTAGTATTCCTTGGGTATTTTAATATTAGTGTAGTGTTATTATAGCGTAGGCTATTTCTAAATATCAGTTATGAAGACTGAGATGAAATGAAAATCTTTCCTGGGCTGGAATAGGGGCGTCATGGATGGTTTACCCTCAACACCAGGGCCGTAGAACTGGCATGGAAAGTCAAGGAAGACTTTTAACACCCGAACCCTTTCTACTCCCAAGGCATCGGAAGCCAGAGCTTATTTTGGTGGTAGTGGGGGGTGGGGGTGCCAGTCAAATTCTTTATTATTATCTTTTCTTTTCCTTCTCCTTATTTTATGAAAGCTCTGTGATTTACAAAGTGACTCATAGTTGAGTTTTAGCATATAGTATAGCAGTACCGATGCAACCACCAGCGCCCACTTCTCTCCCTTCTCCACCAGTGTGCCCAGGTGCCCTCCCATACCCTTCTCCCCACCTGCTGTCTGTCCTCTTGTCAGGTGCCTTTCTAAGTTTGGTTTTTTCAGTCTTGATTTCAGTGTTATTGACCCTGTGGTTTGGATATTTGGCGCCATCATTCCTTACATCCTCCTTTGTACCTTAATCCCCCAACCTGGCCCCTCCTCTCTCTCCCCTCCAGTCTTTCTCCTCCCTGAACTCTGGGCCTAAGGTTGATCTGGGCATCTGCCCTTTAAAACATTGCATTTATAGTGGTATTTAGAATAATCAGATGAAGAATGTTTATATTTTAATTGTCTCTTTCCTCCAGATCACCTTGTAAGAACCAGCTGCTCAGGCTGTGGCCTGGGTATGGAACCAGAAAGCTATAAAGCTCCTTTGAGAACCTGTGTTTGCTACCAAGGCACTCTGGGTATTCCCATGAAAGAATGTACCTCTTGTTAAGAAGAAATAAACCAGATTTCATGGGCCTCAGCCCTGTCCTGTGATTCTTCTCCCATGGAAGGGCAAGAGCCCATCACCATGAGGATTTCTTGGCAATAGTTTTGGTTTTAGTGTCATACTTGCTCTGTATGAAATTTTGCCCTAATGGTATATTTAAATTTTCTTTTTAGTAAAGTTTTTACAATATGCTACAATAGTAAATAGCATATTTGACCGATTGAGGACAATATAAAACAGCATATTTGATAGACCGAGGACCCTGTCTGGTGCAGACATAGGGACAGAGAAAGTAAATGTGAAAGAATAGAAATTTATTGGGGTGCCTTCCAAGATGGACTCTGCATTGGCCCCTTGAGTCGCTGCATTAGATCTTTGACCTGTGAGAGACTAGTAGGGGGTTTTTTAGTGACTTGGGCAGGAAAAGGTGCAAACACCAATGGGATGCATTGGACCTGTCCTTCTGTCATCTGTAGGGGGTACTGAAGTGAGGAAGGATGGAATACAGACTCGTAGCGTTCTAGGTTGGTTATAAGTCCTGTACTCCAGCTGGGGGCAGAGGGGAGGGTGATCTTTGATTCTACATTATCTCATAGGCCGTCGCATTTGCTCCAAGCAAACCTTTCAATATTTGTAATAAAACCAATAGTGTATTGCCTATTATTATCATTGTAATTGATCATGATGAATCTCAATCTCACTGCAGTTATCCTGTGGGCCTCTTGAGGCCAAGTGCTTGAGGCAATCAAGTAATTGCGCTTGTCACCCTGTTTTTGAATTCATCTAAAGACTAATCACTTTTATACATACCTAAATATGTCCATGGTTTGAAGGATTTTCCAGTTTACTTTCAAGAAAGCAATTTTTATTCTGGGGTAATTGGGAACTTGATTTACAATAATAGGGAACTATGATTTCAGTAAAATTGGGGTGGAATAAAGGTAGACTAAAAAGCTTTGGAGTAATTTCTTTGTGGAAGTGTCGAGTGAGCACGAATGGCAGTGAAAGAGAGATTGTGGCATTCGTCAATCCCACAACTCTCTTTCCTCTTTTCCTCTATGTGGCTCTTTATGAATGTGGCTCAGAGGTTGTTTGCTTTCATTTTCTCTGGAGCCACCATCAAATTTCATTCACATAACTGACTATGTGAACTTTGTGCTTAAAAGTGATATTTAAGTGAAGACGCATCTGTTGTATTCCAATCAATGGACAGAACTTAAAAAAATAATAACATAGTTCTTTTTATTTATTTTTAAAATTTACAGATAGGGTGTTTGCCTTGCACACAACCAACCCAGACGACCCGGGTTAGATTCCACCGCCCCTCTTGGAGAGTCCGGCAAGCTACTGAGAGTAGCTCGCCCGCAAGGTGAAGCCTGACAAGCTTCCCGTGACATATTCGATATGCCAAACACAGTAACAAGTCTCACAATGGAGACATTACTGGGTCTGCTCAAGCAAATCAATGAACAGTGGGAGGACAGTGCTACAGTGCTTCTTTTTTGACTCTTGGGGCCACACTCATCAATGCTCAGGGCTTACTCCTGGCTCTGCACTTAGGAATCACTCTGGGTGGTGCTCAGGGGACTATATGGAATTCCCGGGATCCACACTGGGTCAACCATGTACCATGCTAAAAGCCCTATCCGATGTACTATTACATTGTGCCAAATAGTTTGGTTTTGTTTTTAAATACAAATTAGAGGGCTAGAGTGATAGTACAGTGGGTAGGGCATTTGCCTTGCACACGGCCAACCGGGTTTGATTCCCAGCATCCCATGTGGTCCAGCGATCACTGCCAGGAGTGATTCCTGAGTGCAGAGCCAGGAGTAACTCCTGTGCATTGCCAGATGTGGCCCAAAAGAAAAAAAATACAAATTAGAAATCGTTCATTCTTATATAAGAAGGGGAATAATTACATTTTAAAAATCTACTTTATTATTCTCTGTCACTGTATCACTGTCATCCCATTGTTCATCAATTTACTCGAGTGGACGCCAGTAACATCTCCATTTGTCCCAGTCCTGAGATTTTAGCAGCCTCTCCTTACTCATTTTTCCCAATGATTGGAGGCATTTCTCAGGGTCAGGGAATGAGACCTCTGCACTCAACAATTACTCCTCGTAGTGTTTGGGAACCTCCTGGGATGCTGGGATGGAACTCAACCAGCTGCATGCATGGCAAGAACCCTTGCAGCTGTACAATCACTCTGCAATCATAAGCAACTTTCTTCTGGACACAGAAGGGACTGAGTATGAAGAAAAGGTAGAAAACTTGAATGAATTCATTGTATTAGATTGGAATTCAAGGTATTATTATTCAAGAGGTTAATACTGGCTATGTGTTCAGGAGTTGGGGGACCATATGGAATGCTGGGGATTGAACCCCGGTTGGCCATGTGCAAGATAAACACCCTACCTGCTATACTATTGCTCCAGCCCCAAACACCATAGATTTTAGAGTTCAAGGGCTAAGTGAGATCTTTTCTATCTTCAAAGTTTCTCAAACCCTTCAATTTGCTTCCTAACATCACCAAAATTTTGCTAGTCTATAGTAGTCTATAGTAGTCTATATTAGTCTAATCGACGAATATTAGTCTAACGTTCAACATTTTAAATGCCTGACCACAACTTTTTTTATTAATAACTTTTAATATAGTGTTCTTTAAAGAGAAATATAGAAAATATCTTTTTAAAATATTCTTAATACTGATGCTTTTAAAATATTGGGTGTTATTTATTTATTTGGTGCTTGAGCCACACCTATTTATGCTCAAGGCTTCCTCCTGACTCTGTATCAGGAATTGATCCTGGATATGCTCTAGGTAACGTGTAGGATGCCAGAAATGGAACCTAGGTCAGCTGTGTGCCAAAAGGCCAGGTCCTTACCCACTACTCTGTCCAGCGACTGGGGTGTTTTTAAAGGAGCCATGGAACTTATAAGAGTGCTATCTAGATTTTGTAAATGATTATATATTTTATGATGAATAATAATGATAATACATTTTCAGCCAAATAAAAATATGACAAAAAAGGCACAACAATTTCCATCCATTAAGTAAAAACAATTTATTAAAGTGAATTATAATTGTAAGTATATGGAATACTTCGGAAGTGCTTTGTTCTTCTTGATTTATCTATGTATTCCTTCAGTGTAATATGATTTTATTTTTTTTATTTATTTAAGTTTTGCTTGTTGGGTCACACGTTGCGATGCACAGGGTTTACTCCTGGATCTGCACTCAGGAATTATTCCTGGCAGTGCTCAGGGGACCCTATGGGATGCTGGGAATGAAACCCGGGTAGGCCCAAGCAAACTCTCTACCCGCTGTGCTATCACTCCATCCCAGTGTAAAACGATTTTGTACTTTAGTATTGATTTGAATCTATGGTCATATTTTTATTGTGCATGCAGGTCTTCAGTTTTTAAATGCAAGTTCCTGAAGGTGATTCACAGGGAAGATTTCTTAGTTCCTTTTTTTCTTTTCTCATGACATTCAACCTCAAAAACAACCTCCAAGTCAACAGCAAATATTGCCTCATCTCAAGCGGACACCCCCTGGGAACCCCACCCCATCCCCAGGAAGAACCACCTGGGCTGCCTCCTCAGGCGGACCAGCAGCTTGCCCAGCCAC